GCTAAGTCGTAGTTGCGAGATAGCTAAGTCGTAGTTGCGAGATAGCTAAGTCGTAGTTGCGAGATAGCTAAGTCGTAGTTGCGAGATAGCTAAGTCGTAGTTGTGAGATAGCTAAGTCGTAGTTGCGAGATAGCTAAGTCGTAATTACGAGAAAGCTAAGTCGTAATTTTATTAAATTGTCACAATTACGAGATCTTAAGTCGTAATTACGAGATAGCTAAGTCATAGTTACAAGAAAGTTATGTTGTAATTGCAAGATAGCATCTTAATGTGATGAGATACTAAGTTATAATTACGAGATAACATCAAGTCAATTTTATTAAATTGTCTCAATTACGAGATGTTAAGTCCTAATTACAAGATAGCATCAAGACGTAGTTTTTAATTTTGTCAAAATTACGACATGCTAAGTCGTGATTATGAAAACTGAATCGTTACATCTATCTCTAGCTATCTTTAATAATAAGTGTTAGCTCATACCTATGAGATACAACTTTTCTTTTTTCATCACAGTGGATTAAATGGGCTTCCGTAGCCCGGTGAGATACAACCTCATCCACTGTTTCATTTGACCTCACCAACACAACGACGCAGCAGGAATTTCAGAGCAGATTAGTGTTTTATGTGCTGCGTTCTGAATGCCGCACACACAGTGTCATAAAATATTGTAAATACACACGTAACAACAAAATATTAAGATGCAATGTAATACAGATGTTATCTTAATCCATGTATTTTGCGTATATGCATGTCTTCTGTGATATAAAGTGAGGACGGTTAGCTTTGTGTGAAGACAGAGTTTTAGTTTGGCGGTTTTTACAGCGGAGACGTGGTTCAGAGACGATCCACGGCTGGTTTTTATGACTTCACGTAAACCTGTGAGCATATCTCGGAGCGTTGCACCTTTAAAAAAAAAAAAAAAAAAAACATTTAGATGAGCGTTTAACTGCTTTAAAAGGACCTCTCCAGTGGGTTTACCTGCTAATTTAATTTACCACAGATCATGTTAATCACTTCTGTTGCACTTTTCCATGAAGCCGTTAATTTGTACTTGGTAAAGACAATATTTAACCACATCGTTTCATAGATTTGCAATAAAAGGGTATATTTTTTATGTTTACTTAAAGTTTCACAAACTCTGGTTTGGTCCTTTTGAACTTTTCTCACCTGAATCATGTAACAAATGAGGGCTACAATAATAAAAAGTTACCTTATTCATGATTCCTAACCTTTTTTCTCTTTTATTATAAAATATAATATATAATGTCGCCTGTATAATCGCCTGTGTTTACCTGTTAAAAATGGCCTTAGTGTTTGAAAGTATGTCAACAATGGAAACGTCCATGGAAGATAAAAGATGAAGGACCTATTTATGCTCAGATTAGTTAAGTAATGTGTGCATATAAGTGCTTTGTTTACATTAGTGTGTACCTGTTTCACACTATACTGCTTGATGTAGTTCGAATAATTTTATTTTTTTTTTACATTTGAAAACATCTTTATATTTAAGAAATTTTGCATAATACCCACAATTTTACCCATTTTGTCACACAATTGGCATATATTATTTTGAACTTTGCTCAACTAAAACAAAACTGGAAATGACATCAAAGGGTAAATCTATATTTTGTGTGTTTATTGAAACAATATTATTTAAACTATTTTTCATCTGATAGTGACTCCAAATAATCTTAAACCATCAGATTCTTCTCTACCATCTGTTGGCCGTTATAGCGGTGCTTTTTACATATGTAGACATTCCCCTTTGACATCACTTCCTGTTAGCTTACATTCGATTTTCTCTACAACTGTTCATCTCAGCAGCGTGAAACGTTTGTTGCACAATATTTTCAGTGTTATCTTTCAAAAAAATGCATTCATATTTATTACAAAAATCGGACACCACAGGCACTTAAAGTAGTGAGAATGTTTGGTTTTAGTTGTTTTTGGCCTTAACAAGTGAATGGTCAAAACCATAAAAACAAAAATTGGCTGCTTGTCGTTTTTTTAGAGAATGAAATCTTTGTTTTCTGGGAGTGAATTAATGATGAGAGGACCTCTGCAGCAACTGTTCCTAATGACCATCTCTAAAAATGGCTTATTCCCCACCCCAGGACCTGACCCTCGACCTCTGACATCAGATGTCTCATATCTGTTGCTGTCACTCCGCGGCCGTCAGGAAAGGATTTCAGGAATGTTCGTGTGGTTTGGCTGTATTTATAGCCGTAGATACTTTAAAGAAATGCTTAGTCTTATTTTAATTCCTGCCCTGATTAWCAAAACCTGAGCTGCTGCTGGTGAACACGTTCTGTGCTTGTGTCACGTGGAATAAAAAACAAAAATTGAAGCAAAAAATTAGTATCAACTTGTATGTATTGATATTAAGGAGCCAAAATGTTACAAAAACCGATATAAACTTTTTAAAAAATATGATTGTTACCAAGTATTTTTCCTTATTTAAAAATTTATTCATTTCATTTAAAACAATTATATACACAACAGAAAACAAAAACATACGATCAAATAAAACGAAAGGCAGCAGAAGAGGAATAAATCTTACATCTGCCACTTTTTATCTCCAGAATATGTTCAAATAAAAGTAAATGTCCAAAAAAAAGRTGCCTTTTTTTTGCAATTAGATGACCATTTTGGTAAAAAACAAATAAGTGTCACATTTGAGAAACTCTGTAAACCAACACTTAAAAGTGAAAAATAGGTGATCATGTTTTGTTTTAATGGAATTCCCAGTAACAAACGAATGGATGCAACGGATTAGTCAATCTAATTCAAGATGAATTCCATATGAAACACAAAAAAATTACTGCATCGGAGTCAATTTTAGAAATGCTAAGCTCACGTTTGGTGCGGTAGTAGTTGAGTCGACCCAAAACCATCCATTAATTCTCAGCTTGAGTTAGAACCTCGCCCCAAAAACTCTGCGAGAGCAATCCACCCTTTTCCAGCTGAGGACTTTCGGCTGCGAACCGCTCCAGTGAGAGCTGAAGATCACGGAGCGATGACGTCAACAGAACCACATAGTCTGCAACAGACAGCCCTGGCAGAATCCAGCTTTCACCCTGAAGGGGTCCGACTAGGGATGCACCGATATAAAAATTTCAGCCAATATCGATATCTGATATAATTATTGCTGTTATGGCCGATAACCGATACTACACAACCACACAAATTATATTATACATAATACGCACAAACGCACTTGGGTCTTATCGTAAATAAACGACCAGACCTCTGACATGGCTCCCTACTTCAATTATTCATGGCTATGCAGCGTCGATATCCCTATCATGATCAAACAGATGCCGCTCAACCAACCATCTCCCCTCCCAAACCAGAAACACAAAGATAAAAATCAGTATCAGGCGTTAATATCGGCCCAGTTTTACATATTGGACAGATACCGAACCGATATTCTAAAAAATTACCAATATCGGCCAATGCCGATATTAATGCTGATAAATGCATCCTTAGGTCCGACTTTACCACCAGTAAGTCAAGCCAAACTTGCACCAATTATAAAAGGACTGAATGGCCTGCAACAAATTACCCACAATCCCTAGCACCCCTAGGTGTACCTCGAGGAACACGGTTGAACGCCTTCTCCAAGTCCAAGAACTCATTAGGGAACTCCCATGACCCCTCAAAGGACCCTAGTGAGGCTAAAGAGCTGGCCCAGTGTTCCAAAATGTTACTGTTACCTACTGGAGTCAACTGCTGTCTGTTCGCGAAATGTACCACAAACAAAATGGATTTGAATGAAACGCTCAACTGTATGTACGAAAACAGCTGATTGAGTTTTGGAGTCGTACCAATTCAAGGTGGCTGCTAAAGCTAATCCTCTTTAGCCAAGATTATCTCAATCTGAAAGTTTGGTATTGAAAAGCAGTGAATGATGTGCATTCCCTCAAGGAGTGATGTAAGCCTGAAACAACCGCCTGAATCTAGTCTGAAGGTAAAACCGAGCAGATGGTAGTGACACCACAGAGTCCCAGAAGACTTCCTTAATCCTACTCTTTGACTTCAAATAAATAAACAAACAAAACAAATCCTGCAGTCTTTGGATCAGTCCGTTTCTTTGCTTCCCTCTCTGCTCGTCGCCATGAAGATCTTCACCTCCCCATCTTCAGCCAGTACGCTCGTGTTGAAGGCCTTGTGGAAGTTCTCTGTGAAAACCAGATCGGACCCGAATCGGACCTTGTTGGCCCACAACAGGGTGGTTCCCGGTCTGCAGAAGTGCTTCATGGTGACCAGGAGCTCGTCCAGGAAGTCGTGGTGGTAGACCACGTCAGCAGCCAGAACGTAGTCGTACCTGTAGACGGAGGAAGGGTAGGTGTGTTCCAGGTCCTGGCCCCAGGTCAGAGCCGCCACCTGCGGGGTGTGTCGGCACCGGCCCCGGGTGTTCCTGCTCAAGTTGGCCCTGGTGTTGCTCAGGACCTCTGGAAGGTCGGTGGCGGTGACCCAGCCTCCTGAAATCACAGAAACCAGTTATGACGGTTCGCTGCCACGAGGGCGGGTTTGTGAGTTCTTTACCGACCGAGGAGCGCCGCGACGATGGACAGAAGTCCAGTCCCTGCGCCGATCTCCAGGACGGCTTTGTCCACAAGACTCCAGCGGTCCTGGTGAGTGTCGAGATAGTGACAGAGAGCCAGAGCCTGGAGGCGACATCACAACAGCAGTCAGTTTTCACATCTAGCATCAGAACTTTTCAGACACGTCACGCGCAGTTGTGAAGAGGAGGATGTCTGGTTTGTTTCTGCTTTATGCAGATGATGTGGTTCTGTTCTGTTTTCTTCCATCATGTTGCAACTTTAAAGACATTTAACAGAGAAATTTCATAAAAGCTGACTAATGAATGGACTTACGTGTCAAACTTAAGTCCCGTGGGCCAAATGTGTCTCACAATGATGTTTTTTGTGGACCATGAGAGCTTCAAAGATGTTTTAATGTCTTAAAATAAGCTGCTTTAAAGCCAGCATTGATCATAAACTGCAAACCCCCCAAAAAACATGTACAACAGGTTGCCTCCAGGCCTCCCTTGAAAAAGAGATCTGAGATCTCAACGGGACTTGTCTGGTCAAATAACGGTAAATAAATAAATAATAATAAATGACATCTCTCGCAATGCATTACGAATAATTTAAGTAAAATTAAATCTACCTTAACAGTGAACATAAATTCACTGATGCAAAAAGTACGTAAGTAAAAGTTGTGAAACTGTTCACAAAAATTAAGAATGTAAAAGTATTTTTACACACGTCCTAAAAAATAAACGTTATACTGAACACCTTAACAGTCTTTGTACCATTGGCGGGCAAAAATGGTGCAGTTTCTGCCTTCAACCGTTTCCAGATGCTACAGGAGGCTTTTATTTTGAAAACTAGGGTGTTGGCCAAAATCCTCCGGTTCTTACCTTTAGTTTGGCACCGTTAAAAAATGTCAAAAGGCTTTTCAGGAATTTCAGGGACGACTATTAAGGGGTTAACCAAACTGGTTCCACTAAACAAAATATGCATATTGCCTCATATTTACTTTACTAGGTTTATTGGAACCAGTTGAGTAAAATTCAACACTTCATTTTTTTACAGCACATAAACAACTCCTTTCATGATGAGTTTGATTATATTTAATTTTGTAACGAGTAACTAGGTGTCAAATTTTAAAGAAGTAAAAGTATCATTT